TGCCCGCAGGCAAACTGCTAACAAGCGGATGGCCTCCGCCGCGAGCGAGGAGTGGAAGAGCAGCGAGACGGCCGCGACGCGAGCGATGTCGACGGGGCTGTCGCAGCGAGCGAGGACGCGCTCGAGGAGGTCCGTGGGGAGGTCGAGGAGGCGGGCGGGCGGCGGCGTGTCTGGCAAGGGAGCGGCGGCGGAGGAGGCGGTGGCCCGAGCGGCGGCACTTAACTTAAAAGAATTTCAGCCCTCGCAGGCGGGCACGCGGGACATGCACAGGCGCCAAGGGGCGCAGAACCGACCTAACCCGTCGGAGGTGGGGGGAAGGGAGTACCGCCGGGTTCCCCTGCGTGAGCGCAAGAGTAACCCCGAGAGGGCTGAAGATGAGCGGTACGCGCAGGGGTCGGCGTGACGGGGCGAGGGACGCGCCGCGCGGGGCGCCGCCTCACCGGCCCAAGTGGCGCAGGGCGAGGCGGCGAGAACCGAGCGAGCACGTCCTCGTGAGCCCCGTGGCTCCAACCAGGCCCTTCCTTTTTTTGAGCAGGTGTGACGCCGCGCGAGCGACGCTCCGAGATCGCCCGAGATAGCGCGGCGCGGCGGTGGGTGAGGTGGGGTGGGGGGTGGGGGGGGGGGCGGCCTGGCGTGGAGCTCCGAGATAGCGCGAGATTGTGCGAGATCGCGCGGCGCGGCCCCGAGATGGCGCGAGATCGCCCGAGATCGCGCGGCGCGACCCGGGGCGGGGTGGATGGGTTGGGAGCGAGGGGGCGGAAGTGACCAGTGCGGTAGAGGGTCAGCTCGAGGCGCGTGAGCCGGACCTGTGAGCCGGACCACCCCCTCTTGTTATCTGCGTTGTTGAGCCAGGACTCAACATACTCGGGCTGTTGCCATCCCAAACTGTCACTCCCCTTTCTCCCGGCCGGGGTGGGGCGCGCGCGGGGGCGGCGGGTGTGCGGCGAGTGTGCGGGATGTCTGTGGGCCCGAGAGCGATATGCCATGTCCGCCTTGCGTTGTTTCATAACACCGAAGGCTAAGCTCAAAGAATTTTACCATTAAACGCCCTCGCACAACACTGGGCACGGGACTGGCGCGCACTGGCACTAACACAGGTACACCACGGGAGCCGCCTAAGCGACTCCTGCGAGGGTGGCGAGGCACTTAGCTCCGTGCACCCGCCCACCCCCGCCACAGGCAAGCTCATTCACGACCTGCTCTGCGATGGCCGTGTGAAGAATTTGAAATGCCACAACACCGGGCACTTAAAATCCCTGTGGAGACTCCTATCACCGCCCTGCCACCCACGTGAGCCTTTTGGCCGCCTCTGTCAGTGTGCCCGTGGTAGTGAGAGACTGCTGGTGAGAAGCCGGATTATTCATTACTCGATCCCAGCCCGGGAGATTCCAGAGTGAGAGCGGGCGTCGCTCGCCGCCTGCCTGGCTGCCTCAAGGTCAGACGCCATACGTGGCAGCGATCTCGTCAGCCTCGCGCTGTCGCCCAGCCTTCTTCAGCACCTTGACAAGGTTGCGGGCCGAGCTCCTCGTCTCTTTATGCCTCTTGCCGTACCGCGCATCGCATCCCTCCAGCTCCTCCCAGAATAGAGGGATAGCGTCGCCGAGCCTACCCTGCTTTTCCAGCAGCAAGCCGAGGTTGTAGATCGAGGTGAGCGTCTCCGGGTGCCGGTCGCCGAGCGTCTCTCGGCACGCCGCCAGCGCCTCGCGATACAGCGCCTCCGCGCCGTCCAGGTCGCTCTTGGCGTACAGCAGATCGCCAAGGCTGCCAACCTGGTTTGTGGAGCTCCCGCAGATTACCTAGAGAGCACGGCATTCGGGGCCATGATGTCGGTTCCCCACCGGACTTTTTTTGTAGTGGAGAGAATTAAGGAATCTTTCTGCTGTAACCGACACTGATATCGCTCTCCTTTAATCAGACCAGATGGTGAGTCTTAACTGTAAATTACCGTCGGAAAGCTGTCAGAACGGCTGTCAGAACACTGTCAGAACGCTGTCAGAACGCTGTCAGAACGCTGTCAGAACGCTGTCAGAACACTTTTGTGGGTAGGGTACTGTCAGAACGTTGCCAGCACTGCCCGAGAGCGGGCGAAGTGTGAACATCTGCAAGACGGCTGGTGCGAGCGCCACCGCCTCGCCGATCGCCCCCGCCTTTGCAGGCTCCTTTGCGGGCGCGGCGCCAGGCGGCGGCGGCGCCCGCTCGAGCCCATCCCGCTGATCTGCCTCGGCTGCGGGCACCGCCTGCTCGGCCGCCTGCCAGGGCAAGGCGAGCGCCGGCCAGGCTGCGGCGAGGCCGCACTGCCGACGTTAAGTCTCGCTGCCACCGCTGTTGCTGTTGCTTTGGCGGCAACAAGCGCCGTCTCTGCGGCGAGTGTCGCGGAGGAGCAAGGGCCGTTTGGCGGTGGTGCCAAAGAACGGCGCAGCGGCGCAAGCGGCACGTTCGGTCGCGCGTGACCCGAGGCTGCCGTCTTGGATGCAGCCTTCGCGTCTACCTGGACCGCCGGGCCCGCGCATTGCGCTTTGTGCTGCGGCGTTTCGGCCTGCTGCTGCCGGGCCGCGGCTTCTTCGGCTCTGTCGCGGGGCTCCTGGCTGCGGAGCAGACCATCCCAAGAGCGCGTTTGCTGCCTCGAGCCATCATGGCGGTCTTGGCGTTGCTCCTGCTCGACGGTTGCGCGCTCCCCCCTTGGCGCTCCCGCTTAATTGTCAGAACAGATTGTCAGCCAACGCAGCCGAGAGATAAATTCTCCGCAAGAGAGCCGCGTGTACGGAGGCGGTGCAGAGCGCGAACTCGCCGTACTGAGCCTAGCGCAGCGCGAACACGCCGTCTGAGCCTAGCGCAGCGCGAACTCGCTCCTGTTCATAGCTGCGCAACCCTAGCTAGCTCCATTTTGTGTGAACACTCGCCATCACGCCGGGAGACTCGCTCTCTGCCTGCCGGTGACACTGTACTAGCAAAAGGGGCGCGGACCACCATCGAAGCGCGCCGCCGCTATGGACGCGTTCGAGATTGCCGTCCCCGAAGGCGTGTCCGCCGGGCAGCAGCTGCAGGTGTGCGCCGACGGGCGCGCTCTCGTGCTCACTGTGCCGCCGACTCTCCCGCCGAGCCGGCGGTTGCGCTTCAGGATGCCGCCGCCGCTGCCGCCGCTTCCTG